ATCTCGTAAAGCATTCGTCCGTATCGTAGATCACGAGAAATTCACAGTTTGACAGCACTGGCGTCACAGTTCTACGTCGGAGACAGTTTTTTGGCACCAAAATATACCCTAATATTTCCTTTCTGATGTTTCGACAATTCTTTAAAAACTTTCAAGGTAGGCCTTTTCCATTACCAAAATTATGATCCAAATTTTAGTTTTTCTTGAAATGTCGTACAATAAGGTTTTCCACTTCATTATACACGAGTTTTTACCATTTGGGATAGTGGTAAAAATGTTAGATAGCAAGAAGTTTCAAAAGATTTACTTAGCCTAATTTATCCCGATAGATAGCTGTATAAACAGCCTAATATTCTAAAGATGGAACTAATACGGTTTCTTATAAGTTATGGTTTTGTTAATGTTACAGAAATATAAAGCATATACCTACCACTTTCTCAAAATTGGAAACGATTCAATAACTGTTAATTATGTACTATAGGAATGGTTTATAATTTTATATTTATACTATAGACCCATGCACGTAATACAAGATGTGTTTGAAGATATTTATGAATATGTCAAACTTAACTTTCGATGAATTTTAGCAACCTTTTTTGGTATTCGTAATATTATCGGTTATAGCAATGGAAATGAAAATGTATAAACTAATTTTCGATTTGTATTTTTTTTGAAATAAAATATTAACATTATTTTAATAGCAGAGTTATCAGTAACGCCCTACTTTCACATTCACAAGGTATTATAGTAAATGGGTTGGAAAAATATAATTTGTAAATGTAAAAGAGAGGGCTATAAGACGGATATCAGATAGTTGAAATGAAATTAATCCGAATTAAGATAATTGAAAGACTGACTCCCTCTAGTTATTGCTTTCTAATTAAGCTTCTTATTGAGCGGTCGTATTAAATATTAACTCCAATTCAATTTCATTTCCCTTGTGGTTTTCAATTTCCTTTAATCTTGTAAGTCGATTAAATTTTAATTATAGGCTACATGTTTTTTTTTTTTATTTCATGCATAAATTTTTTTTTGTATTTTTTAAAAGGCTGATCAGTTCAAATCGTAAACGTCATATTTTTATAACAATATTAAATCACAATAGTTTGATTTTATTTATAATCGTTTGTTTCTGGTTTTGTAAGTTAAATTTTTGATTCTCATTTTCTATACTTAATCATGAAAAGTGACTGTAGGCCTACGTTTTCCCGGTTTTGTACAGTATTATCATATAACTTTTGAGTGTAGAAACCTCCTAACTATTTTAATATAGTTTTTTTTAATAAGCTGCATATTAATTCAGTTTTCTATAATTTACACAATTATCGATATTCTGATTTTTTTTTTCTTGCTCGAGAAGAGAATAAATTAATGTCTCTACGGAAATCAAAAGAACCTTAATATTGTCTTTAACAGACATGAGGTCTGTAAAGGTATAATTAAGTTGGTTTACTTACAAACGTCGCGGTAAACTTAAATGGAGTTTGTGTAGTATTTTTTTAATTTTGATCAACCGCTTTCGTATTTTGTACAAATACTTAATTTGAAAAAAAAAACATATTTCCAATAGGTACTATTTATTGCTGGTTTGGTTTTACTATCTGGTAGAGATAAATAAACATTTGGGATCTCAAGCACAATTTAAATCAGTTATACAATGCAGCAGTTGTTTTAGGTTTTTTTACAGATTCGTCTCTTAATACTGTAAAATAAATGTATAACCCAAAAAGCATTTTAAAAGTAATCGAGTGCTCTAATATTAGAATACATGACGTGTTATTACCTAACTCAGTACCCAGATTTCAAAAACATAACTTTCAAACTAAATATATCCATCATAAAACGACTGAAAACATCAGCATAGTGTATTGTTCATACTAAAAACAATTTTAGGTAATAACTTGTTGACCTAAAGCCCGCAGTCACTTCCGGTTTGCAACAATGATCTACCACCGGAAGTTTCTCCTTGAGTTATAACCTTCCGTGTTATTGGGCTCGAGTACAATGAGTGTATGAAGGATGTAAAGACAAGAACTGTTCGAATCGGTTTCTAAATTTTTAAAGAAAATCAGTTATATTGTTTTCTATTTTTGATTATCCGTAAGACGGTTTTCATACATTTCCCATGAATTTTTTACTTTATACCTAAATACTTTAATACTTTAATTGAAATGGCTACATAAACCATAACATCAATGTTTTTCACCTAGCAGTGGTATCAGTTTTGTTATTGACTAGCCAAAAATATTGGTCATCAATAATTGCCTGTATTCCGTACCAATGTATATTTTTGTTATATATTGTTTGTTATTAACTTTAAAGACAATTTTATTTTTTATATTTTGATTGAAGCAGTTCTTTCAACTTCATGTGTTTCTTGATTAAATTTGGAACTTAATCTGTATTACTGAATTGATATTCTATTCAATAGGCCAATAATTTTACCATAGGTCTACTCCAGTTATTCGTGTTCAAAATCGTGGGTTTGTTATACAAAAAAAAATTAGAGGTGTCGACAACATAAACCAGCTTATTCAATTAAATTTAAGATAAATCTATTCTGTCTTTGTTCCCGATAAAACGCATGTACCCTTACTGAAGCAAATGTAAACGATCGGATATGAACATTCAGCCTAGCAATGCATCACTAAACTTCCTTGGTAATGAGTTATAAGACAAATTGGTCTCTGATTGGTTTCTGACACCAATCGATCTGCTTTAACATCCCTACCAAGTCATCGAAGACACAACTATTAACTTTCCAGACATGTCTACCTACAAAATTGCAGTAAAGAATCATTAAATAACCCGAAAATTGTAACAAGTATTAATGCTTAATATAATGCTATATATGCAAGTTTAATGCTTTTCTAATACAGTTTTGAAGAATAAATTCTTTAAAATAGCTTTTACTAAGGCAGCCATTTAAAAATGCTACGCATTGAAAAATAATATAGAAAATATGGCTGCACCAAAAAAATAACTGACGTAAACAATTTTACAAAAGCGAAATCAGAAAATGATAGAATAGTATTGACTTTACTTGAAAACATACTTCTATATTCTTTGAATCAAAGTGAAATTTTACCTTGAAGGAAAGAAAAGGATAACGACGAAAAAAAGAAAGGAATTTTTACTACGGTTGCTATTTTAAAACTGTCTTTACTTTTTTTTATTCAATATATTTTTCTATTGATACATTTATTGGAAAATAGAACTATAAACAGACAAAAATGTATCTCTTTAAAATTACGTGATACATTTTTACTCACTTACTTATTCAAAATACTTGTAAAAATATGTTTCTCGTAATGATTTTGTAGATTTTATTTTTATACTTACTTTCGGTATTCAGTGTTAAAGTCGTAGCCAGTTTCAAAATAAAAATCGAAGCAGTTAAGCCTCTAAAAAAGTTATTTGCTGTTGGAAATTCAGTATGTAATTTGTTGCACAAACAACATGTTTACGCTATCACATCTGAAAAACGGAACTTTCTCAACTGTGGTATCCTTTTTACATCATAGTATCAAAAACTGAGTAAAAATATAAATTGTAAATTGAGACATCGTGGAGTTTGTGATTATACCAAAATCTTTTTATTTACCAAAACCGGATACATTTATGTTCGGTTTCTATTCCTTTTTAACTTTTAGGTAAACACAATGAATATCATTAATCAAGTATTTTAATCAATGACAAGTTTGTTCAACAGGAAAGGATGGAAGTTAAACACAAAGTGGTATTAGTTTCTTGTTAAGTTCAGAGTGACAAAGTTAGCTGAAAGGTGATGATAGGTGATGGGATGGTTATTATAAACACTTTCATACCCTCTATGATGCCAAACATAATCTTATAACAAGAGTAAACTTCGTATCCGATAATGGAAGACACTGATGAGTATTTGACTCGGTCATTTTCCGCCCGATCACATGTTATAACTAGTTACTATGGTTACTACACTCAAGGTTCATGATCCGCTACATCATACTGAGTCGGTTCTTCTATTAAAATATATGTACAGCTGAAGGTTCAGTTTAGTATAGGTTAATTTTAATTAAAATTAAATTTTCTAACAGCGTTGCAAACTATTTTTAAGGCCATCATTATTCATGTTTATTTTATTTGTTTCTTCATTTTATTTTATTTTTGCTTTCATCGTCAATGCCTTTTTGGGTTTTTAATGGGGACAGTCAAAACCAGGTCTTCCTACTATTCAACGCTGACCTTTATGTTAGATAGAATAACTAATTTATAGTCAAATGACAAAGGCATCTCATCTGGGTCTGGATACGATATCGCTTGGAATCGAAACAGCGACCTTCAATTTTGAAGGCGAGAACCTTAACCACTCGGCTGTAGACGATAAAAGATTTGTTTGCAATTTTGAAATACCAGTCCAGTCTTATTAACAACTTAAAGTCTTTTTTGCTCCTACATAAGTTGCATTTTTATACAGTAGAACCTTGATAAGAAGACTTTCATGGGGATCATTAAATAAGACTTGTTATCAAGGTTGACTCCTTATTGAGGTTTGTATAACATGTGATTAAGGGTAAAATAAATTAAAGGGGATAATTACACTTGTTATCAAGGGTGACTTGTTATCGAGGGTCTTCTTATAAATGTTCCACTGTAGTTAGGTAAACCTTTAAGGAAAACCCATTATAGTTTTGTGGGGTGCATGGAATTGACCCCTTTCCTTCCTCACTAAAGTCTAAAACGCTAACCACTAGGCTAGCAACACACTCATCACAGGTTTATTTCAAAATTAATAATTGGTAATGAGTGACTATAAATACAAAACCACACAGACAGACGTGGAAGAAACGGATGCCAATTGACTCACGGGCAGCTTTCATTTTAATATACCTGTAGAAATGTTTCTACAAATCGCAATAGATATCGCACTTGAATACCTTCCAGAAACCTCTCTAAAGGGGACAACGACCTCTCTAGGCACTACAAAGCTCCAAAGTCTACAAATGACTTTCTATTTGCAGGTAGCCTGGATGCACTTTGAGCAGTCGGCCATCTTGACAGTCCACAGTCACGTGATCACGAGGAACCCCAGGATCTCGGTGACACACGACAAACACAGGACGTGGTTCCTTCACATCAGCAACGTTCAGGAGGAGGACAAAGGACGATACATGTGTCAGATAAATACAGTCACTGCCAAGACTCAGTTTGGATACCTACACGTGGTTGGTGAGTCAGCTAGTTAAACTTTTTATTACTTTTGATTGAATGTTTGGGTTTTTAAAGAGGTTATTGACCTATTTTAACCTTTAATTTACTGCTATACTATTCTATCTGGATGGTACACGAACTAAAAAGGATTTAAGCTATAGTTGTATTTGTAAATGAAATGTTTTCGTGCAAAAGAGATTTAAGTCTTACACTAATAGTATAGGATGTTTACTTTACTCCCTGATATAAAGTAAACAATAACACACTAATTTACAAAAACAAATTAATATTTGTACTAAAACATATAGAAGAAAAAAGTACTTTGTTATTTTATAAAGATTTATTATTCTGACGACCCGAATTAACTTACTAAAAATAAGGCTGCTGATAATATCAACAAACCTCAAGTTTACTCAGAGCTTAACACAGCTTCAAAATTCCTCAACAGTAAACAAACTCAAAGTGACCAGCCAAAACTTATCGGCTTCCTTCCAAGCACGTCAAGACAAACTTCCTAAGACTTAATAGAAATTAGACACCCAATCATATAGATACACAAATTAAAACATTCACTTATAAGTAAAGAGCAAAAATGTTTATAAACAAGTTGTACGTTATCATGCTTAATTGGGTCAATGAATTATCATTACGAAATTAGCACTATTGGTCAATAAAATGCTTTATTAAAAGGAGTATAAAATGAGTCAAAAACTATTTTAAATTGGGATTCCTTGATAAAAAGTCAAAATACCACATACTTTATGATGATTATTAGCTTAATTAATCAGAGGAACGATGTATTCACGAGTGTCTCTTGATCTTGACCGCCATTAGCTAACTAGAGTGCTTTGCTATGGTTAATCACTCGTGAATCTATGAATGAATGGAAATACTTACTTATAGAAGTAAATTTGGGACCACATGGCCCTTTTCAAAATTAACTGATGCTTGTTTGTATGGAATATTATGATTAACATAATTACCAGTTACTAGCAAAATATATTACTTAATACTTAATAACTTAATACTTAAACTTAATCACCATTTAAAAGTAATTTTTCTTCCTTTTCGTAACATATTGTAATTCTAGAAAAGTTGTGTGTAGTCTGGGTTGGAAATAAATAAATAATTAAATGTAACTTTACAACATAAAATGTGTCTTTAAAAGAGTAAAATTTGAAGTTTGTTTGTATATGAAAACGTATATTAAACTAAACAAAAGTTAAAGAAGAGTGTTAATTATAGTAAAAATATGGGTTATAAGCTATAAAAAATTTAATAAAAACAATTATTTTAACTTCAAAACAATAACTTCCTTGTAACACTTATTGAATGCAAACCTCAGATGGGTTTGGTTATGATATGTCAACAGCTAACTTGAAAGTAAATTGATAAAATATTAAGTTTGAAACAAATGAAAAGTGACCATTGAACCTTATTAAACCATTTATTTCAAATCAAATGCGTGTGATTAAACATTACACCAAACCAATAATATCAAAAACTGAAATGAAAAATAACAAAAATGAATTAATTATACCGATCGATATCAAACTAAATATATATTTCACAGAAAAAGAAACTGTTCTATTGAAAATCGTACTAAACCCCATAATATGCCACCTTGAATAAATTTTTATCTTAATGTCAACACTATACGTAAAAATACGTTATTTCTATTTATTACTTAAACATTACAGCATTTAAAGGAAATACATGAATAACAGTTATTATTAAGCATATCTACTTTACTCACCTATCATTCCAAGCGCCGTACATTCGATTGTCCGGTCTTCAATTCACTGAGAGCCACTTGGTCACTGAATGTTGCAGTGTGTCACTAATTGCTTGTCAGTGACTCTCGCTGATGAAAGGTCATTCAAATGTAAAGCTCGGTCCACTTGACCTCAGTACAAAGTGTTGACTCTACTGGACGGTTATTGGTTGTTTGACTCTAATCAACAATATGTCTGATCTACAACATCGCTTGAATTTCCTCAATATGTTCAGACATAACTTGGCACACTTTTTATAGTATGAAAATTCGTATCAGCGTGTATTTAGTAAGTGTGAAAGTATATTTCTAGTATGGTAAGAAGTAGTTGATATAAAAATTATTAGAATGAACTATGTAGTATAAATAGAGTGTTATAATTCTGTGACCAAATTATTGTATATTTAGATAAATTGAATTAAATAAATCAGTCAGTTTTTCCTGTAATTTATTGAATTAAGTCGAAAAATGGGTAAGTAATCCGTGGCTTTTTAAGAATTAAGCTTTTTTTAAAATTCAATTGAAGAAATGTTTCGTTCAGGCTATTAAAGTGTATATTTATATCGTGTTTATTTCACAATGTTGGCTTAAATAAAAAGTTGAACGATTAAATTATCGAACCTCTGCAAACGTCATCTATATTTATAAATAAATTTAAAAATTATATGACACAAAATTTAAAAAATTCGACTATTTTACCACATGAAGATAGTTTAAACATGATTTAAATATTATGATTTGGTTATTATCCTACTAATATTATAAATGAGAAAGTTTGGATGTATGGATGTATGGATGGATGTATGGATGTATGTTTGTGACAAGTGAACGCGAAAAATACTGGTCGGATTGGGCTGAAATTTGGCATGATGATAGCGCACATTCCCGATTAACATATAGGCATATTCTTATTTCAAAAATCCTTTCGGGCTCCGCCCCAGTGGCTCTGGAGTTTCCCATGTTAACCTTATGAGAAATGAAATTATTGAATCTTAACAGCTGTTTCAATTAAACAAGTTGGTTCTGTTCTGTGATGTTCATTAGCATTAAAGTTACAAAAATTACCAACAGGGTGCAGCACTATTATTTCTTTTACATTTATGACAACAGCTAATTTGCAACCAAAAGGTGAGTGAGCGTAGCGAACGAACTTCAACCTGGAGGCGAGTTAGCGTAGCGAACGAGCTAACCTGAAGGCAAGTGAGCGCAGCGAACGAGCTCCAACCTAAAGGTGAGTGAGCGTAGCGAACGAGCTCCAACCTAAAGGTGAGTGAGCGTAGCGAACGAGCTCCAACCTAAAGGTGAGTGAGCGTAGCGAACAAACTTCAACCAGGACGTGATTGAGCCATGCGAACGAGATAATCTTGAAAATTAAGAAGTTAAACGGGGCAAAGCCCGCGGGTTACAGCTAGTGTTAACATAAAAAGCATACAAAAAACTCTTTTCATGACTATAAATTTTGTATTTAGATATTTAAGATTTTCTAACTGAATTATCTCCCCCTTTACATCTGGTATAAACTGGCACTTATTTCGATATCCAAAAATTGTACCTATAAATGTAATCATTTATAATTTAACAGCGAAAAATTGGCTTCAACCAAAGAAATAGCTTTGAATGTTATATTACTGTAAAATTCACAGTTAAACCTAATGTTTACACCGTAAGGTCTATTTATGTTACGGATATTACGGTGACACAACAAGTTGACATTTCGTTATGGTTAATTATCCCTGTCTATTGAGAGTCTCTCACATTTAGCCACCAAAGCCACATCAATCTGTAGTGGTTGTTATATTGCAGCCTACCTCTTAACCCTTCATCACATCACGCTTCTACCACCGTCTACTATTCGCTACATTGTAATGTATTTCAAGCTACAGCTGTTTATTTATATCAGCTGTTATTACGTATTATTATTTAGGTTTATGCCTTATGTTTGTTTTTATTAACTAAACTATTTGATTAATTTTGTTTGTCTCAATTAAACTTTTATTCGTCATACTGTAACAAAAACAGCCGTTTTAATGCGTGCGTTGCGGTTCTAAAGGAGCATTTTTACTCTCTAGGGAGTAAAACCTTTTTAGCTCCAAGAGTGTAAAAATCAGCTGTTGTCAACTCCGTTGTAAATTCAAATTGTAACCAATCGTATGTATTAAAAGAATGTATCAATTGTATTTATTGAAAGTATGTATCAATTGTTTAATCGATTTAAGCATATCGATGCCTTATTTTAAATAATTCAACACATCGATGGTATAATGTTCACTAACACAATCCCTATAGACGAAACGATTGAATCATTTACTTAACAGCTCTTTGTTTCCATTAGCAAATTAGATTGAAAACAAGTTAGGCCTATAAGTAGTTTTGAGATTTGTTTAAAATGAAAACAAATTTAGTTTTGTAACATATTTTGTTCAAAAATGGTGCAATATGACAAGAAATATAGTTCACCACACGTGCAAAAAGTGTCTTTTCAACCCTCGCTCATTTTTCAACCTTGGCTTTGCCTAGATCGTAAAACTTGAGCTCAGGTACAAAATAATCACTTTAGTCCTGATTGAGATAATATACCATTTCATGGAATAATACATTATAACAGCTGTAATATTTACACCGCTGAAAGTCAAAATATATTTAATACAAAACTAACATTTCCTACCCTTCCAACAATAACTGTCTGAGTATAATAAACAAGCAATTGTACTCATAACTTCCGGAGAACTTTTTTCCTCAATATTTTATACGAATGTAAGTGTTTGACACAATTTTATTCATTAGTAAAGTCTTATTAATAAGTATATTCCTTACAAGAAAAGACAGTAAGGATATGTTGGATGCGTTAAAATTTTATTCAATATTGACCAGGCAGACAGTTTAATATACCTAGTTGTGATTCCTTCGGACAGTTATATATAATAACTAACTTAAAACTACTAAATACCGCAAATATTTCTCATTTTCTTTTCCTAAAATTATCTGTCCTTAAAGCTTGCTTTGAATCAACTTTACCCCCCCCCCCCCCCAACATCGTTAGGACTCCCCACGTATGTAAGTCACGTCTTCAAACAGAATCCGCCCCCTTGATTAACTAGCAATGTCTTGTCCCATCTTTCTTATAAGTTGACATACAAAACACCAAGGGTGTACTGTATTTAAACATTGGCTTGTAACGGGTATATTTGTAGGGTATACAGGCTTGTTGATTGCAAACGAATATATTTACGTTGTAACTGTGTAA